GTAATAAGGAATTTTTTGTTTGATAAGAAGCGACACCTAGGATTTTGAAATTAAACTGCTGCGTGTTTAGTTTCCCTTGTCCCTAATGGAAACAACAAGCCAATCCGTCGATTTTCCATTAGTTCCAGAAATGCGCTTTATTAATCTCACCATCTAGGAGAATTCATTTAGGGTAAGAGCAGAAAAATTACATCATTTCATGTTTTCAATTTCTGTACTGATTAACAGTCATTTACTTCGGCTAGGGCTATAAGTATATGAAAGTACCTTGACTAAAAGACATGCTATATAAGTCTGCAAAAATATGAGGGGTTTTAGGTTGTTTCACTCTTTTGACTCTGGATGAATTTGTTATCATTTTGCAGTGTCACAATACATCATTAAAGAAATCCCTAAATAAACTAGACTAATCCGAAAAACATAAAAACGTTTGTTGTACAGTTTTTTAAGCTTTACCTGCTGCAGAGAGCAAGGAGGGCTATCTTAATAATTATACTATTTCCTGCTAAAGTAAACATTCAAAAATAATGCTTACAGATCACTGCCTTCTGTAAAGCACCACAGGCAACACTTGGCATGAAAGAACTATTTTACTGCTACCAGATCAAACGGACCATTAGTAAGACGGTCGTTCACCAGCTGGGCACAAGTCGTTGAAAACATTTCTCAAGTAGAATAACCAGCTGTATGAAGTTATACCAGCGCGACGACATTTCAAACTCAAGAGAAAAGTCTAAGTGCCTGTATATTCTGTCAAACACAGATGCTATTGGATACACAAGAGTACGTGGGGTATTCAGCGTGGAAGATGGCGATCCATTTATAGATCGAGGATATTTATTAACACGATCATAAGTAAAGGCTCGCAAGTCAGATATGCTTTAAAATAAATGTAACACTATTATGGTGGAATAGATACTTGCTGCGCTTATACTTCAGTTTGGCCGCCAAAAATGTTTTGGTTAACTATTTTAAATTTCGAGACAAACACAATGAAAACGGTCATTAAATACCAGATGGGTGAACCAATACATTTCTTCGGTAAATTTTCAATAATGGTGTCTGTAATCCTGCTCTTCTGAATTTACTGTAGGCATTAATGAGAACAATGAAAATTAAGGAACCGTTCTGATGACATAAATTAGCAGAAGTATGCTCATGTTGATGATTTGGACTTAACTTTATGTTGACTCAGTCTTTACAGCACCAAATTTATGGCGAAGTTAATTCATACCACGAAGCTGGCCCCCAAAGAGAATGTTAAGCGAGTCAGCATGATGGATCTATAATTGAATCAATAGTTGTTGCAATGATAAGTAACTCCTGGGCTACCGAAATACTGGTCTCATGAAGCCTGCAGCACGTGCAGTAGAATAGATCCCGTGTACATTTGGTACGTTCCGCAGGCGACACAGCCATTAATTATAGAGCGGCAGAAATATGATATGCATTCTTTATCCTTTGCTCAACATACTAGCTGATATCATCATTCACACAGCTTATAGCATCATCAGGAAATAAGACAAAATCCACAAACCACTTAGCCAATTAAGACTACAATTTACTATTAAATACATTATGTTTACCGGCATTGGAATATTCAATTATAAAATGGTTTACGATATAGCTCATCTCAAAAGTCTTCATATGCAGAGATTTTTCGGTATCTTCAAATTTTAAATAGCAAAACATTTATAGTAAGAGAGTTAGCGTTCGCAACTACTCTGATGTAAGATATATCACCCAAAAACCATTTATAACCAGGGTAAGCAGAAATGTTTCGGTCATTCTCTGCGGTAGCTGGTAACACGGGTTAAAAGTTCTTTTCTTCTCTTTGATAATGTGCTCTATTGAGCAACATGATCATTGTTGTACCTATCACTATAGTAAGAAAGACACACATATAGCTAAAATCAAGCAAAGCAGGGTAAACCGAAAACACTATTTTTTCTTGTAATGTAACAATTGGGTAAAAATATATTCCTCCTGCAGGTCATTAGAATGCCTTACATCCAGGCTCTTCACTAAATCTAGATTGCACACACAACGAGTGTAGGTCAGCATTTCTTGCTAGCTCACTAAAGGGATCCAATAGTAGTTAGGCAGGAACAACCTAGTGCGTCAATAAAACATTCCAACACCAGAAAGAAGCAGGCGTGCTACGATAGATTACACAGTAAATTAGTCCAACACCACTTGTCAATGAGTTAGCTATGGGGTTATAATGTTACTTCAGCTGGTTTTAAATTTTTATCGGTTCGGTTAAAAAGAAATGCGCCCAAGTGGCAAATAGACGACTAACTAAAAAGGAACATCAGGCTACCCATCTGATTTAGTTAGCTAATTTCTACTGCATGCCCACGCAGTTTATAATAAGTTTAATTCACTTTGTGTCATTTGATCTCTTATGACCCTCACCCATTAGCAACTCAAACGGCGACATTATCGCTCAGTACAACTACAACACCGACTCCAATAGTAACATCGTAGTGAAGTTTGGTTAAAAATTTTTAAAACACGTATGCATTTCTGCTTCGAAATGCAAAAACAGCTGGTAATACTACATAAGTTACCCTTGTAAACCCATGGTTTTTTGGTAAGGCGAATACAGTTTTGCACCCAGGAACTCCGCTGTTATTTAAGAGAAGCAAGTGGGAATCTGCCATACAAATTTAAAAAGAAAAGCAATGTTACGGCTAGCTTGTAGGGGGTAAATCAGAACATTTGGCGTTCCGAAGCTGTAAAAATTACTGGACAATGTATAAAATAATTAAAACAACTGCTTACGTCTTGAGTAGACAAGAAGTCACCTCCTGCGTTAACACAAAAGGTGTTACTTTCTGCTAAATATGTATCCTTTTAGTTATCTTCGCTGTTTAGATACTGAAATCGGGTTACCTCGGTAATGCAAATCGTTTGATTGTCAGGTAAGTAAGTAATTACGGAAGAGTAGTAGTAGAAGTTGCATGGGATAGGTAGACATTATTTACATCTTGCCTCACTGAGACAGCCATCACACTCCCGGAATAGTAGTTTACACGCGTTTCATCCTTTCGGAATAGTCAGCAGTGCGCATTCCATCCGACCCTGGTAGGGCTTGAACCAGCGACTCGACTGTTGCCATTCCGTGGTTGAGACCACTGAGCTACGGGGGACGGCAACGACCATCGTGAATAAGTTACTAGATGTGATATAGCGCCGCTCACTATCAACTGACTTACACGTTACTACCATGTAGAGGACAGGGTAGCCTCCATTTACGTAATTATACATTACGGAGCAATCTGAACCCGCAGCCTGTATGAATACATGGAAATAATAACAAAAACGTTAAAAGGTAGCTGTACGAAAATAGACTAATCGCGTATAATTTCACGTAAAAAATTTTAAATTATTCCAGTTACAGTATCACAGTGTTCAAAATGTTGTACTGTCATTTTCTTAATCTATCTATACCATTCAGCTCCCCCTACTACTCCTCTGTAATCAATACGCAGACCATACTGCTTAGAATGCCATAGGTTAATTGGCGGCTTAAGTTTGGTAAGCTCTTCGCTTGGTAAGGGCGCTACCCTGTCCTCTACACGGTAGTAACGTGTAAGTCAGTTGATAGTGAGCGGCGCTATATCACATCTAGTAACTTATTCACGATGGTCGTTGCCGTCCCCCGTAGCTCAGTGGTCTCAACCACGGAATGGCAACAGTCGAGTCGCTGGTTCAAGCCCTACCAGGGTCGGATGGAATGCGCACTGCTGACTATTCCGAAAGGATGAAACGCGTGTAAACTGCTATTCCGGGAGTGTGATGGCTGTCTCAGTGAGTCTAGATGTGACGAATTTCTACCTATACCATTCAACTCCCCTATTACTCCTCGGTAATCTATTAGTGACAAATAGTAAATCCAGCAAACTTTTAAACTCCCGCTTAAAGTTTGCTTTATCTAGTGTGTTCTGGCGGACTGTACTAAACATTAATCGTCTTATTCTCAAAGCATTGCTTGTGCACAACTTGCTCCAGGTCCGGTACCACCAACTTGTGCTGTTACGACGTGGGCTGCCTGAAGTTCACAAGTGTAGCAACCTCAGCATGGTGAAATCCATAGGATGTGAACCACGGTAGATAATGCTAAGATCGGAGCCACCGGATCATAGGATAACGTGTAGAGTTCTATGTTTCCGCACAGTGTAAGACAAACTGCGTAAACTAAGGCTGAAACTAATGGCAACGGAAGGACGTGTCCGATCCTCTGTGCCTAGCATCTGGTCATCGGACAGTAAACAAACGAACCGTACTCAATCATTTGACTATTCTTAAAGAGATTAATCAGTGGCAGCCCCTCCGGCCGAATAGAATAACTACGCTTAAGCTTCCAAGGCAAACGTTAGCTGTACATATTTAGCCAGTTTGTGTTTTCGAAAGACTTCAAGTCGCAGTATGAGAGAAACCCAAGGGAGGTATTGAACGCCGTGGTTGGTTTTCCACAGTGTAGATTGGGCTGTCAACTACCTTCTCAGCAAACGAAACAACTACTTAACTAGGCTAACCAATAGGCGGACTTCTATAGACCGCCTAAACGGGAACGCTTGCTGATGTAAGTCGCAGTACACATAAGTTAATCGGACACCTCATAATGAGGCCCTCAAACAAAGCATATAGAGACCGGAAAACCTGAGTTAACCGTTTGATGTAGTTGAGTAACAAAGCAGTCGCCAAAATCATGCTTGGTTGAAGGATGAAGACTGGGCAGATGGCCCTCCACCTTATAAAAACAAGTATTCATCTTCACATGGTTTTAGCCTACAACAACAAAAATAGTTAACTTTGTATTGCTATTTTTCTAGCATGCAGATAGTTGGGTGCATATTTGGTTGCGTTATCCTGTGGACTTTTATGGAAATGTAACCTTTTCAGCTCCCATATAAACATTATGAAGCGGTTGAGCGAAGCAGCATGGTTTATCCCATACTGTCACGATTTCTCCCATTCGCAACATTTTACAGAAAGAATATCTCATGTTAGTGGAACAATGTATGAACTTCGCTTGTGAGATGATGGATCTTTGCCGAGGGACCCAGGAGGTGGAGGCAGTAATATCTGATTTTTTGGAAGACGGCACCAACATTCGTGACCCACTGGGCCGCCTCCGATTAGCCATACGGTTTGAAGAGAAAAAAGTGAGAGCAGTAACTTTTATACTTATACGACAGTGCATCGTGGATGTAACACAAATACCTAATGTTCAAAACATTACCAAAAATGTCCGTTATGAGGCCTGTTAGTGCAGTAACAATAAAAGACGCAACCGGTGTGAGCGTACAACTAAAAATTTGTATGAAAATATAGCTCCATGACATAATATGTTTTCGGAACTCAGACAGGCGAAACAATTAAAATTGAACTCGGAAAGTAAATACGAAGCGCAGTAGCGTATTCCCAGTGCATTTTTATCAACCTGTAGGAGTGACTTAGAAGTGTCAAACTTACCGATACGTTACAATTACAACGTGGTTTCTTAGCTATTCTTTGGCATTGCAAATTCACGCCAAAGTTAGTCCTTGGTGCCACCGAGCATCCAGTGTTCAGACAATTTCACGAACACATCTGTACTGTTATATTCCGGGTGCATTTTAAACCTGTTTTTACACTTGCAACTGTATTGCCCCAACTATTGCTAGTTTAGCTCTTAACCAACTAGTGTGAAGCATCAATTCATTGGCTGCGGGCCTTGATACTATTTATAGTAGTCGCGGGGATGAAAAAGAAGCGATAAAAATCAGACGCATTCAAGCCAGGTTGGTCTCGTCTTCCATCTGCTGTAATGGGTGTTAGCAGAAGCTTGCATTTAAACCGAAGTACTACTCACTGGGTAGTAAATACTATACCGGGTTCCTTTGCACTCTAAACCTGATGACTTACCTTCCACTTCCGGGAATCAAAAGAACAAGCGTTATTTTCACTCCTGGATTTGAGTGCGCGGATCCAATGAGCCTTCTTGGCAGCTTAGTTAATCAAGTATCGTACTGGTTCAAGAATGATAAGTGAATCGGTCACATATCCCAAGTAGGATCTTTAGTGCCTTCCGTCAAATCCACTGACACAAACCTGAATCTCAAGTAAAATAGATTAATGCTATCATCCGGCCTACTGCCCTACTCCGTCCGTATTACACTGCAGGCCTTGTTATGTCTTTTAAGTTTAATCAGATTATGTTGTGATGCGTGCTACGATACTATTGCCAGCTAACTAGGTTTATCTCTTCGTGGTGCCCTATGCTGAGTTTGGAAACGAAGATGTCTTTCTTTTATCCTTGCTACCTATATAAAAACCACTGCTGTAATTTATCATGCATCTATTTCATCCCTACGTTCATCTAATCTAGTTTGTGGCTCACCCAAATTGCCAGCAGTATTTGACCAGCATCTGGTACGGTTCGGAAACGGCGTTTCTGCAATCTTGGTCCCTGATAAGGAAGATCGGATTATCAATTTTTGCTACCCCCCTTCTTCCCCTGTTTTGTATAATGTACATTATTCTCCCCACATCCAACGTAAGTCGAAATATCTTCTGGTTAACTTATGTGGGCTTATCTTATAATGTTACCCATATAAGTCTAAAAACGGGTTCAATTCATGCCCTACACTAAAAGTTCAGTTTTTTTAGAAGTAGTCTAAGACAGGTGGCCAGCCTTACTGCTGACTATATCCAAGAAAATATAGTTACATGCAGCAAGTTGTATTTGAAACATAAATAAATTATCCCCTGCAGATATGCATAATTCGTCTGTGAGGCTCACTCTTGTGTTCAAAACAATTACGATCTTTTCTTGATGCTAAATCTACTACTGCAGCTTATAGCGCAAAAGTTAACTTACGAGTTAATAGTTTATTCGCATTTAACTTATGGAAACAAGTAATATCCCTTTACCGAAAAATGAAATAAAATCATGTTCGAGTACATGAGGATTTTGCTTACACTTAAGGTTCCAGAGAACGAGATTATAAATCCGAATAAAGACACCTGATTGGCAATCAAGCACAAATCTGGTTACATTCATAAGATAGACGTCATACCTAAAGAAGTAAAAAAATGTGAATGGCTGAAGTAGATAGAAGACGTTAATGATGTCAAGGCCGGCATCATACTTCTCCTTGAAATAATCCTTCTTTATCCTGTGACTTACAGTGCTATCTAGATCACTTTAAATGCCAGCGATTTCGCTATTCAGTAACTGTCTAATTGTTTTGAAAACACACAGGATTGGAGTGCCGCTTAGGACTGCAAATGCGTCCTGGTATAAAATAGCATGTTGGTTGGCAAAGGTACTTTCGCCGCCGAGACAGTGGGTCAGCTCGTGCATCCCTAAGGACTATTTTCGACGTGTGGACGAAGTGAAGGCGATAAGTTTGGTAGACAGGCTCGTGTGTTCCCTCTCTACGAAGCTCCTGCTGCATCAAGTAGTCTGGTATATGTGAGAATTCTCCATCCCGATTAAATTACTGAAAAAGTCCCTATGGGTTTACACAGCGGATGTCGATGTTAACTTGCCCAAAATGCCGTACCGCCAGATCGATAGGTAGTTAAAATAAGTCTCATGCTCGCACATTTATTTATGTACATTTTATTAATAGGAATAAAAACAAAGGTAACCCAGACGTTCTAGTACTAGAGTTACCTCAGTGATATTTGGGTTGTTGGTTCATCAAAATCGTATATCATACAGCATAAGCAACGAGTTAACTGTTCACATACTAATTTTACCTCACATGGGAAGGTGTACAGGAATATTATTTGTATTAATTAGACATCCTTAGACCCAGAACAGGGGAACACTTGTTTTATACCGGTAAAAAGCTAACGATTAACAGGTCCCGTAGGATGGTCATAGTAAAATTTCCATGTATAAATAATACTGTTTGCAAAATCGGATTTACACCAGTGAACTTACTGAAATAAACGTAGTTTAGACTGTAAAACCAACGTAAATGCATAAGAAATAACCGCAAATGGGATGTTTGTTAAAACCTCCTCTCCTCCTGGTATACACATAAAGGAGGTGTAAAAAGTGAAACGAAATCTGGGATTTGACCAACAGTGACATCTCTGACAGACACTTATGTTTATCCATAGATAATGGGTCATGTAAGATGGAGCAGGGAACTAAATGCACGTTCAACCCGGGGTATAATCTCTGCTAGCATGGGAGCACATATGAGAGATTCTGGTATGGCTTTCCAAGAACGGCAAAAGCGTACGGAAAGGAAATTCAAGACGGCATTACAAGCGACTGTGCTGCTCTTCTCGTTTGAGATGGTGACCTCTCAAATTGTTGTGACTGAGCTCTAGCAAATGACGGCACGTGTGGTTGGGATCTCTCAAAATATGATAAGCCAAAATGAGGTTTCCGCGGAATCGCCGATATTGTCCGCTGAAGATCCCGAGCACTCGAAGCCTTCGTTCATACGGCAAATTATACAGACCATTGACAATTTCGTTTGCCCGGCTTTGGGGTATATCCAAGGCGGTGAGTGCTCTCCTTAGTCATAGCTTCCAAACCTATAGTGCGTATTTCACATATGGCCGTATGTATGAGCCGAGAAGTTGTGGAAAAATCGAAGGCTCGAATCGTCCTAACGCATCCTTCTGGAGGCCCACAGTTTGGATGCACCTCTTAGGCGCCGTTTTAGCCTACTTTTAACATCCAAGATCGGCCTGGGCCAAAACTCTGATCGTTCTCGCTAGAATATCTTCGTAGCTCCTGGTTGCCGAGTTTGTAGGATTGCACCATCTTGTGCCGTAGATGAAGCACACTACATTTGTCCAAATTGAACCAAAATAGATTCTGATTGACCACGCGTCTACCCTATTCAGATCAAGATGAAGTACTGTGTTATTGTCTGATTTATTTATTACCCTCCACCCCTTGATGTCATTGGCAGAAAGCAGGCAGTTCGAGATTATGATGCGTTTGAATTCGTACTTATACGTTAAAAATAATCGCAATCCCAGTACCAAACCCAGTGGTACTCCGCATTTAAATCGATGGAATATGATAGCGATTCAAGCACACGCGGTGCCAGGCGCCGGTGCTTAAGACAGCTTCTGATCCATCATAGGAGAGGATCACCAATGTCAAAGGTCTGGAGTTTGAAGAGCAGAATGTTATGGTCTAACCGGTCGAGTGACTTTGAGAAGTCAAAGAAGAGTACCACAACTCTTGTGCCAGAGTCTACTACCTGGGTCCAGCTGGATCGTGCTAGTGACAGATTTGTAGTACACGATCGATTTCGTTGGAAGCCATGCTGTTCCGGTGCGAGGTAGTAACTGGTTAGCGCATCAGATAATAGCTTCGACGACCTTTGAAAGAATCGGTAATAAGGTTATGGGTCGGTAGTTGACTGGCTGGGAATGACAACCTCCCTTGTGAATATTGGTAATCATCCCGTGTTTGAACACGTCAGACACGTAGGTTTCGTCAAAACAGTGTTGCAGGAATCAAGCCAAAGACTAAGCTAAACTCTATTCCACCACAGGCAGCGATTTCGTGTGTATATTTTCAACTCCAAGAGAGCTGTGCTTGCGCATACTCAACATCTGGTTTAGTACAGCTTCTGCTGTGAAGGTAATGTGAGTGTTTTAGGGATGAAACAACCATTATCAAAAAGTTATATGGCCAGTGATCGCACTAAAATGTTAGAGCATACTGTAGGCACAGGATATTGCCCACCTCTTTCGGTGTCCGTTTGGATCCGTCCGTTGTTCGAAGAGGAGGAATTCCCCGTTTTCCTTTACGTATACTGTTGCCGTATTGATACGAAAGTTTGTGATTTGAGTCCATACGCACTGTCAACTTTTGCTGGTACTCCATTTCATCCTTGTGAACAAGCTGAGTACAGTGGTTACTTTGGGTTGTATAGGTTATCCAGTTCTAGGTGCTCGCGAAGCGTTGGTAGATATACCGGGCTGAGTTTCGTATTGCTATACACTAGCGAGTCCTGCTTCGCAGGAACGAGAACCCGTTTCTAGGGCTGAAGGTCTTAGTCGCTGACGCTACGAAAACTAGAGAGTTAAACTGGCCGACGGAATGTACCCATGCACTTGCTGGTTCCTCATCTACCAGAAAGGTCCAGTTGGCTCTCTCAAATAATCAAACTAATTGGTAGTGGCGTGTAATCGCTTTTGTTTCCTCCGCGATTTCCAGGGGATATACTAAATAGCAAATGTATTCGAAGAGTAGGACTAAATGCTCACTGCGTCACAGTTCGACGCCGACAATCACCCTCTCGACCATTAGCTCTTCTTTGTTGAATATCCGATCAACTATCAAATGCTTTTTACTCGGAATCGGGTGGGAGTTTTGATGTGGCCATGCACCAGGTAACTGGATCCCAACTCTTGTAGATCCGCCTTAAACTGTTCTCCAGGAGACGCTTGGGACTCCAGAGCGTGAATGTTAAAATCGCCAGTGATGCGAATGTGACTGCAAGTTGTGTTTATCACGCTCATTATTGCAGATGTCTGATAGAAATTTATCGCAGGCGTGGATTTAGGAGGGTGGTAAATAAGTGCCAGTAATCAAGTGTCGTCGTCTTTTAAAAGTAGACGGTACCAAAGAGTATCTTGTACTGGGATGACCGGATTCTCTATGAGCTCATGTTGGAGGTCTTTGCGGAAGTACAAAGCTACCCCTCCACCTTTGCTGGGTCGGTCGTGCTGAACGATGGCCATGCCTGGCAGTGCGATCTCCATGTCCCTTAGTCAGCAGGTAACCATGTATCCATTATCTCGAAGCGATCGCAAACTTTTGCTCCTTGATGTAGCCGAATTTCGGAAAGTAAACTCAGTAAGCCTCGAGCGTTGGTATACAGACATAAAAGCTTTCGCATGTCAAAAGCTGTTGACTAGGAGCACAAAAATGATGTGGACTTATGCCGACCGCTGAGAGGCCGGCATTTAAATCGTTTTTTGGGTGAAATGGCAAATCTCCACAGGGGTGCAATTTGTTTTTGGTCTCACTTGCACCAGCTGTATGTAGTCTATCGATGGCTATCGGTCTTAGTGCACAGGTTTCTGAATGGCTGTTATGGTTATATTGATTTGCGCTTAGCGTCATTTGCGTGAGAAAAGCGAGTAGCTGCGGCTCTCTAACTGCTGTCTTTAGTCGCACTTCCAAAGGTAACTTGTTACGTAGTAACTGCCAGCTACGAAATAACTTAACGACCATCGGTTGTGACTGCACAGTTACTTTCAATATCCTCGGCCACACCCTGTGTAGTTTGGCGACACGAATAACAGTGTACTCGATCGAAGTATGACATCGCCTGCACAGAGAGCTTCACAGAGGTAACGCCATTCCTCCAGGACATGAGCGTGAGTTTCTACGTTGTCTGTAGCTCGAGCAAGTCATGAAAGAAAAGTATTCTTTTGTTACCCCCGGGTGTGGTGATCGTTTGAATTCATTTTGTTGCGCTGGCTATCGTTCCATGGAACATCCTGAAATATGTGTATTCTACTGTTTTCAGTCCGCAGGCGATATTCCGAAAAAAGTAC